CTCTCTCTCTCTCTCTCTCTCTCTCTCTCTCTCTCTCTCTCTCTCTCTCTGTGTGTGACAGCTGCTTCTGTATCCATTCTGTAGTTACACCTGCTCCTCAGCCTTGACTGTTTATCTTAATCATTCCTTTGTTTCAATGTCTTTATTGGCAAAAGAAGAAGCAGAATTTAGCAATAAGATTCACATTTCTTACCCCTCATTCAGGCTTATGAACTCTTTATAGCATCATACCAAACCCTACATGTCCAACAGAGATCCTCGGAGACCCTGACTTGCTCAGGGAGCTCAGGTCCCCTTTGTGTTTGTCAGTGTTTATGTCATTGCCTGGCAGGGGTCAGCTCCCGTTGGCCTGTGTGAGGGTCTGAATGTGATTCACTGAGCGGAAACTGTTTTACTGCCTGCCTCTCTCCCTCTCTCTCTCTCCCCTTTTTCTGTCTCACCCCTCCCTCCTCATGGCTGCACAGTCTACAAAAGGAGGAGGCCGAGCCATAAACGGAGCCTGTTCATTTTGAAAGGTGCCGAAGTGCCGCAGACGGGAGGAGATTGATGTTCATTGGGGACGAGAGGGCGTCCACACTCAGTGTGTAGCGACGAGGGGAAAACAAGTGTTTGATGGAGCTGTGTGCCATGTTGGAGGCGAGAGCTGCTGTTTTGTCTGCTGAATGCAGACAAATTAAGTTCAAACTCTGGGAGACTTAATTGACTGAGCAGCCATAATGACTTAAGCTTTATTTCAGTTCTTCTAACATACTCTCTTGGGTTTTATTATTTTATTTTCAGTAGTCATTCGATGTTTCATGCGTTTTTCACAGAAGACAGCGTCGTGTTTTAGTGGTTGTTCTGGTTGGAGCACACACTCAGGTCAGTAGGGTTAACTTGACCAACAAACCTGAGGCCTCCTCAGTAGGTCTAAAATGGTTCTCAAAGTGCAGCAGCTGCAGCAGACAATCATCCATGACCCGGCTGTCAGGTCTCATAACCGTATGTACATATACATGCATATTGCGCACAAATACACACATGCTTCTTGTTTCAGTTTTCTCTAGAAGCAACATGGGGTGCTCGCAAATCTGTCGCCCATTTAAGAATTAAACTTGACCTTTGGCCCTTTAGATGTCAGAAGCTCTTATGGCCTCGTAAAGGTCAACTACAGATCCTTTCGGTGTGACGACCACAATGCATCACCAGTTTCTCTAACAATAAAAAAAACATTAACTGAAACACATTTATTTAATTTCCAACTATGATATTGTGTAAAATATGTTAAATTTTAAGATGAGTATAAAATCTTTGTACCTTTTTTCTTTAGTAGTTAGTTATGTATGTAACGCTCTGTCACTAAACTCCACCTTCATTTTTGATGACGTTATGTGAACGTGCAGACAGACGGCTGTTTCTGTCTGCCCATAATCCGCTGCCGATTTGACCTCAAGTCATAAAAGTACTCCATCATTTCAACATGCAACTCTCGATGGCTGATTTGTGTTGAACTGACATTTAGTGTGGCAGGAATGATGTTTTAGAAATAATTCTATTATGAGTTTCACCAAGTGCTTCTTATTTTAGTCTAAAAAACAGTTATTAACTTTATATAAACATTATAATAAAGTGTTATTGTGATGTTTTGTAAACTTTTGCTTTCAGAAAAGAATGAGGTTATGGCACTTTTAAAGGATTTAATAAAAACAGATCAATTCGTGATCAGTCTTATGAGGAATATTTGACCAAGCAAATGGTTGCAGTGGAATCTAATGACCACCATTTTGAGGTGAATTATAGAATTTCTGCTGTTGTTCGACCGTTTGTATAAACAACAAGTATCAACACTGAACAAACCTTGAAGTTTCTAGAGGTCATTCACGTGTAAACAGGGCTTACGTATGTTGGGTTCACATGGTAAGATATTTGTGCTGATTATGACCCAATTTTGCCTTTCTAATAATCTTAAGGACACTCTGATTCTCGTGATGATTCTTAGAAAGCATTCCTGCCATGTGTGGTGTGTTCAGAGTGGGTTACCTATCAGAAAGATGTTGGGATCGCTCCAATTGGAAGTTGAGGATATTCAACGTGTTGGATTGCCTTGGCCCGATATCGCAGTGTGTGTAGTGTTCCTCCGTAGAACTATTAAGCTTGCATCCTGTTGAATGTGACGTGTAGCCAATCAGAAAGCAAAGTTGACAAAAACACAGAAGGGAATCCAAAATACAAACAACCAAACAACTGCCACTGAGCCCCAGAAATTATGGTGGAGGTTGGAGTTGACGTCACATTAGCGACGGTTGGCGTTGAGTTCCAGAGTTGTAAAGTAACTAAGTACAAATACTTTGTTAGTGTACATAAATAAAATTTTTGGGTATCTGTACTTTACTTGAGTAATTATTTTTCAGCCTACTTTTTATTCCTACTTCTTACATTTTCACACATTTATCTGTACTTTTTACTCCTTACATTTTTTAAAAAGGCAAGAAGTATAAAGTCGTTACTTTTATTTCATTTTTGCTTGTTTTCATTCCTGCTTGTTATTGTAAAAAATAAGAAGTATCCATATAAACTGTGTCTCCTAGATGGAGAGAATTTAATTGTGCTTGAATGAGAAGTATAAATATATAAAATTCTGATATTATAGTAGTTTGTACACAAACAAATCATGTCACACTCCAGCAGGACATAATCATTAAAATAAAAGGACTGTACCTAAGAAGTATTTGTATTTCATGAATTATATTACTGTATTTGGCTGCAGCCCTCAGATAGATTTTCATTTTGGGGAAAATATTTGGGCAGCCTTGATATATGTATATAAACTGAAACAGCTAGACTAAAGCATGCTAAATTTAACATCAATTAATTATTTTAATACAACAGTCATTTCTGCCTCTTTTTTCCTAATAAATGTCCTTACAGAAAATCTAACTACTCATTTTAAATCAATACTTTTACTTTTAGTACTTAAATACAAAAAATATCAGATTCTTTAAGACTTTTACTCAAGTAATATTCTTAAAGGAGACTTTTAACTTTAACCAAAGTCATTTTTGGTTAAGATCCTTGTACTTTTACTCAAGTATCACTTTGTGGTACTTTACACTGTTGAGTTTTATCTTGTTTACTCTGAACTCACGTAAACTCGAGAGGTTTTGCACGATTTCCTGTTTGTCATCTGAATGTTGGTGAATGAAATCTGTCTATGTTTTAGCAAGGATTTTTTTTATCATCACATGGGAGGTCTTATCGGTTTTGAAAATCTACCAACAGTTTTAAATTATTGCCGTGTGAACCAGGCACAAGTGGCAATTACGTGATGCAAAATGCCACACTGCCGTCCGCAGCTGATTTCTTCTCTCTTTATTCTTAAAATGACAATAACAACATGATGGTCTGCAGTAGCTTTACCATGAAACACTACATCAATTTGTCTGCATGATGAAACAATGTTTCTCGTCATCACAAAGTCTATCATAAATTCAATTTACAGTCTGCAATCAATATGATGTAATACCGTATACCCATCTGACACAATTATTTGAAATGATGCTGATTGGTGTTTTTGTTTTGCCTCAATTTAATTGAATCAGTAATCATTTAATCAATATATTGATGTGGATCGATGTGTTGTTACACTGCTAGTCTGCATGGCAGTGTACAGCAAACAATGGCATAAGTTCAGGGAGTTTCAACCTTTAAATAATAATTAGTGAAAGCCTTCCAAAGGGACAAAGACTCTTTAAAATCACTCCACTCTTTCAACCAGTTTTATAGTTTGACTTGCTTTATATTAAAAATTATTCTACCCCTACAAGAATACTATTAAAATGTCATCAGACACATTTATTGCCAATTTTTGGAGCATTGCAGCTGTTTTCACAGCGGCAGTGATGTAAGCAGTCATACTTAATATTGCACCTTTACCTTTAAACGTTCTGATCAAACTTGAAGAAAGCAGGGCAAAGT